GATGATCATTTCGAGCTTCCTTCCAACTTGTCTTCGATAGTTCTGATCAGCGTCATCACTTGATCTACATGAATCAGCCATTCGGGAGAAACTTGAAGTTCTTGAGCTGGAGCCTTATCGTTTTCAAATGGCTGTTGTTTTGTGGATGTCTCGACTTCGTCTTGAGCCTCTATCTGATTCTCCACAGCTTTACTAGCATCGACTTTGTCTATCATGTTGATCAACTTGGCAATTTGAGAATCTCGTTGTTGAACATGCTTTGCGAGTCCCTCAATGGCCTTTGTTAAACTTGCAATTTGCTCTTCCATGGTTGTAGCGTTTGTTGTCATGACGGATGCCACCTCAGAGTAGCTTGATGTTGAACGAGGCGTGGGCTGTAGAATCTCTCGTTTTGAACCTTTCACGTCTGTGCTTGTGTTGGCAAGAGGTGGTAAGCCTTTCTGAACAGTTTGGGAGCGTCGAGCTAGTCTTGGAGGATGCTTGCAACTTCTTAGCCATACTCCTTGTAACTAAACCCACACATGATGAATCCGAAGTAGCAGTCTTCATTGCAAACGTAGAGCAGTCACTGCAACACTTTGAGGATCTTCGAGAGAGAGAAGAGATAAGAGGTAGAGATGTCCCTTCGGGCGTGCCAAAATTTGTAGCAACAAATTCTTATCTGCGTTACATGTTGCAAACTCTAATTTGATTCTCTGATTCTTCTCTCAAGATTTATATATGATTGACTTTGAATTTCAGAGTCGGGTCGGGTTTTGACTTGAAGATCTTGGAGTTGGATTTTGACTTGAAGATCTTGGAGTTCTTGATGGATTTGGCCCTTCAATCTTCCTTCGATCTTGATTTGAAGAACGCTCGATCTTGATTTGTTGAAGAACGCCCTCGATTTGGTGAAAAACGCCTTCAATTGATGAACGCTCGATCTTGATTTGTTGAAGAACGCCCTCGATTTGGTGAAAAACACCTTCAATTTGATGATAGACTTCAATATTGTAGAGAGAACTTTCTCTACGATTTTTTCTCCTTCTTTTTGATTTGTGTTTTGAATTGTGTAGGGAGGGTCTCTATTTATAGTGGTAGAATAAATGTCCTACATAAAGTCTCCTTGATGACGTGGCGCGATTTGATTGGCTTTCATTAAATTGATATTTATGTCTTATAACTTGAAAGAGAAGAAATAATCCTATTGGCTAATAATTAATTGATGTTTATTTATATACTTGTCTTGCAAGATAAACCATAAATTAAATTAGACACAATTTAATTGACTAATTTAATTTACAAATTTATTAATTTTAGCCGTCTACAGCTGGCGCCGTTGACTATGTTTCTCGTTGTCTTGATTTTTTTGTTATTTTATTATTTAATTTTTTGTTTTATTTATTTTTTAATAATTATTTAAACTAGGAAATGTGTCGTTTTTGTAATTTTAGAGCTTAGATCAAACAGTGTTAAGGTCAAATGTCTAACAACTAACACGATGGCCACATTGAGATAATTTTTCAAGTACATGGGGGCTAATTGATTCAATCAATAGTAGAATGTGCTAAAGTGATACCGAGCCAAAGTATTAGAGGTGTTAATATATATTATATCATATATATGATATCATATATATTATATCCATTATTATGAGATTTGATTAGATATGTTAATATTCTATATCCATAATTTAGGGATTTGATTTGATTAGGTTTCCTTGTATAACTTGTTATTTTGTGTATATATACCCTCACCTCTATTGAGAAGAATACACATTATTTTCATCTCAATTCTTTTCGTAACATGGCATCAGAGCCAACTTCAAACCAAATTAAAAATTTGGTTCTTCTGTCGTAACATCCACAATCAGCGTTGTGTTCATATTCTGTCACCACCGTCGCCCTATCGTGAACATCGACGGAGTGGTCCTAGAGTTATTTAAAAAGAAAAAAAAAATCCTTTTCAATGGCTCTTTCCGATGTCACTCAACCAATTCCCACAATTCTCGATGGTAAAAATTACTCCTTGTGGATCCAAGGAATGCGTGGTTTTCTCAAAGGGCGTAAATTATGGCGGATCGTTACTGGTGATAATCTTACAGGCATTGAGTCTCTCAAACAATCTCTTCATCATCATTTTGAAATGAAGGATCTTGGAACTCTCAGTTATTTTTTGGGGCTTGAGATCACCACTGCTTCTGATGGTTACTATCTTTCTCAAGCTAAGTATGCTGCTGATCTCTTCTCTCCCGCGCAGGAATTACAGATACCAAGATTGCTTCCACTCCTCTAGAGATGAATACTCGACTTACTCCTAGGGATGGAACTCTTCTTGCTGATGCTACGCTCTACCGACAGTTGGTTGGAAGTCTCATTTATCTCACTGTTACTCGTCCTGACATCGCTTACGCTGTTCATCATGTTAGTCAGTTTATGGCGGCTCCACGATCTACTCATTTCTCCGCCGTTCTTCATATACTTCGCTACGTAAAAGGTACTATGTTTCATGGTCTTCATTTCTCAGTGATACGCGTTTTTCTCACGTATAAATTACCGCAAGTATACAGTATCGCATTTTGCAGAACAGTGGTTCCGGATATCGATCCACAGGGACCTTGTAGATTCACATGTTGAGTAGTGTAATTATATTATCGTTATATTATCTAGCCGATCGTAAATATTTGGAATTGTGAGAAACCTTAATTTAAAAGCATCCAAGAGCGTAAACATGCAAATATAGAATGTACGTAAATAGAGTAACGACAACTCAACGCGGGGGGACTTTGATTTAAAGGGGACTTCTAGGGCCAAATCCACCTAGGTATAATCAACAACAATCGACAAATCCGCTATCTAAAATCACACTCCTATTCGTTAACCCAGACGCTAATGTACTCTAACCCCCGTCTCCAGTGTAGTTAGAGTCTACCCACAGGTCCGACGTCTCCGTTCAGAACCTGCTATTAAGAGAGCATTTAGGCCAAGTCCTTAAGGGCTACCCGAAGTGCATCACGTCTCCGTTTCCACACCCCGAGCTATGTTTTCCTAACTTCAAACAAGAAATCCTCTCTCGAGTTCATTCCTATTTAATATCAATCTGAGAGCTGATCAACACAATCAGAAGCATTTAATACAGGAAAACATAAACGAAATCAAAACACGATAAATAGATAACAGAAATGACGATCGAAATCAATATATACAAGGCTTCATTGCCCTAGAAGAAAATGTTCTTAGTTCATAACAAACATAGAGTCAAAAGAATGTACACAAGAAAAGAAGAACAAAACGTAAAGAAATATCGTAAGAAAAACCCAAGTCGAAACCCTCGTTGAAGATTCCCGCGAAGAACTGTCGAAGACCGAAGAAAAACCGAAGAAAGTCGAAGATGCCATAGAAGACTGAGGCTTGCTTCTATTTATAGTAAGGCAAAGCTTCTTGAGGAAGCTTTGCCTTTTTAGATATTTATTACACATCCCGAGGCCCATATCGCGATATGAGAGGCAATATCGGGCGATATGGTAAAATTACAAGCTCTCTGTTTCGTTTTCTCCCATATCGCGATATGGAATGGCATATCGCGATATGGTCACTGCAATAACTTCAAACTCTGTTTTGACCCTTTTGTAGCCCGAATTTGACAATTTTGCATTTCACAAAAGTTGTAGCCCTTGCAGTTGGCTTTGTAAATCCACTTGAATCAGCTCAATCGGAGGTCGTATGAAGAAGTTATGCGTAAAATACTGAAGGCTGCCACCATCCACTTGATTGCAATTTTTGCTCTTTGTTTGACTTGATTCTCGGCTTCGCTTTCAAAATCGTTTCGAATCGGCAACAATATCTAACAAA